GGTAAATTTAGCACACACCGGGCGCTTACAGATAACTTGTACGCACACAGGGGGTTTTCGGGTGCAGCATGCGCACACAGGGCGCGTGGAGATAAATTATACGCACACCGGGCGTTTATAGATGAATCATGCGCACACAGGGCGCTTGTATGTAAATTATACGCACACAGGGCGCTTACAGGGGAAGCATGCGCACGCAGGGCGCTTGCAGATAAAGCTTACGCACACAGGGCGCTTTTAGGTGAAGCATGCGCACGCGGCGCGCCTGCTAGTAATTACATGCACACAGGGCATGCATCGTTTTTCTGCTGTCCACAGCCCACACCAGAAGCTGCAGTTTTTTCTTCCACTGTCAGATGTATACGATGATTGGAGGAAAATGGGAGGAAGCGTATAAGTAATGTCTGAGATTAAGGAAGAGTGAGAGGGGAGAAAATAAGCATTTTTTTAATCGCTTTGTGCATAATCAGTTTCAGTTTCTGTATCATAAGTATTTCCTGTACTTAATCTTATCCATGGTTTTAATTTGTCAACTGAATATATATTTTTATATGATTGCTTGGAAAATCCTTTAATACTACTAATTTCATATCTATCATTGTCAAGAACTGCAGTTATTTTATAGGGTCCACTAAATGAGGGGACCAATTTATTGCTAGTTCCGATATTTCGATTGGATTTCATTGCCATTACAAGATCTCCTAACTTGTATACGTGAGGAGTGCATCTCTTTTGTCAAATCTAGTTTTCATACTTCTACTTTGCTTTTCAATGCGTTCTGTAGCTTGCTTCCGAATTTCGCTTAAGTTATCACATGCTATTCGATCTTTTAATAATCCGTGAAAATGACTTTCGGGCAAATTAGTTGTATTTGTACCAAAGAGTACTTGCGCAGGTGACTTGCCGATGCTTTTATTTAAAGTATTATTTAGACTCCATTGAACTTTATTCAGCTCTGCATCCCAGTTTCGGTCTTCTTTATCAACGTTTAAAGCCGTAAGAGAATTTAATATTGAACGATTGTATCTCTCGATCTGACCATTAGCGCGCGGTGTCGCCACGGCGTTTTTAATATGTTTTATTTGATAGGACTCTAAGAATTTTTAAATTCATCTGACGTAAAACTCGTTGCCTGATCTGAGATGACAATTTTTGGTGAACCAAAAAGTCCAATGAAATCTCGCATAACCTGGACCGTTGTTTTACTTTTTGTATTTCTTACTGCCCTTAATACAATAAACTTCGTAAAAGCATCTATGATTCCTAATATATATGTATGGCCATTCTTGTTTCGCACGAATGGTCCCAAATGGTCTATATGGACACCTCAAATGACACGTTAGGTTTTCTAATTGGATGGATGAATCCTTGTTTCTTCCCGCTTGGTTGTTTCGAATAACCACATGGAATACACGCCCGAACATATTTCCGAACAAATTGTGTCATTCGAGGAAACCAGTAATCTCGCTTCATTTTCTCTAGTGTTTTCTCCAGCGAAAAATGACCACTCTCATCATGACATAAATGACACACTCTCCATCTTGCGTCGCGTGGTACTGTCCATTTCAATTCTGCACCTACTTTCCTATATATTTTGCCGTCTTTTAATTTATAATTATTTCTTATGTCTTTAGCCTCCGTGCAATTTCGATCAAGTATACACTTTATGTGAATTAATTTAAGGTCACTAAGTTGAACCGCTAGTAGCGAAGGGCCTTGTACTTGTTCTTGTTCATGTGTCACGTTTAAAACGTTTAGATCAATGTACTCATCATTTGCGATCGGATTACGACTTAGACCGTCTGCATGTTTCATTTGTGCTCCAGGTCTATATTCAACAGAGAAATCGTAATCTTGTACTAATAACCACCAACGAGCTATCCATGGAATTAGATCACGTTTCGTAAGCGTAGTTCTCAAGGCATTACAATTAGTTATGACTTTAAATTTTATTCCCGGAAGATACACACGAAAGCGACTTAGAGATGAAACGACAGCCAAGGTTTCCAGTTCAAAAGAGTGTAAGTGTTGTTCTTCAGCTGTAGTTTGCCTACTAAAATATGCAACGGCATGAAGAGGACAACCTTCTTTTTCTCTCTGTAATAAAACACCGCCAATTCCTAATTGGCTAGCATCAGTATGGAGCTCAGTTAAGTAGTTTGGGTTGTATATAACGAGAACTGGTCTAGATATAAGAATTTGTTTTAATTTTGCAAATGAATTTATCTGTTCTTTATTCCATACCCACGTCTGTCCTGATTTGGTTAATAAAGTTAATTTATTAACCAAATCAGGACAGACGTGGGTAACAAAGCGCCTAAAAAAAACTTGCCAAGCCGATAAATTGTCGTACTTCGTGGACATTTTTAGGCGTCGGAAACTTAGCAACAGCCTCAATTTTTTTGCAACCAGGCCGTACACCGTCTGGTGAAATTTCAAAACCTAGATAGTCTATTTTACGTTTAAAGAAATGACATTTTTTTAGATTAAGTGTTAAATTATCCGCCTGCAGCAAGTTCAAAATTTGGAGGAGTTTTTCCATGCCTGAGAGTTCCGATTTTGATCCTCTGACTATATCGTCCATATAAGCAACTACACCCGGAATTTTTTCCTTTGATAAAAGATTATGCACCATTCTTTGAAAAACGGCAGGGGCGTTGGTAAGACCAAATGGCATTCTATTATATTCAAAATGACCATCTGGAGTAATAAATGCCGTAAGATGTTTAGACTCTTCTGCCATGGGAATTCGGTGATATCCTTGAGTCAAATCTAAGGTCGTGAAAAATTCTTGGCTATATAGATTGTCAATTTGATCATCTATTAATGGCATTGGATACTTATCCTTAGTAGTTTTACGATTTAACGCTCTGTAATCGACGCAAAGTCTAGTTTCTCCATTCTTTTTTGTAACGAGGATTATTGAACTTGCATAGTCGGACTTGGAGTGTCTTATAATACCATGTTCTAGAAGTTCGTCTATAATATGTGTAAGTTTCTGCCGTTCGGATAAGGACAATCTGTAGGGTCTATAAGTGACTGGGGTAGCATCATTTAGTTTTATGTGCATTTCAGTAAGTGACGTTTGCCCTAATTCACTAACGGTAAAAGTGAAACATTCTCGTTTATCATTAAGCATTTCTAAGAGTTGATACTTCATGTCCTTACTAAGTTCAAAATCAATGTTGATGTCTTCTAATTTAATTGGTGCTATTTCACTATTTATTCGTCGAACATTTACCATATAACCATCATCTAAGTTCACCTCCGATAATATAGAATTAGGAACCATTAAAGCTCTTGTCAATATATCCTCTTTTGATATTTGAAACTCCTCAATACTAAGACTCATGATAATAATATGACCAATTCCATTTTTCATAGAATAAATACCAGGTAAAATAAGATATTCACAACCATTTTTTTCACGAGGTTGTGCTGTTATGCTGATAAATCCACTATAGTCTATGTTACAATGAACCCTAATAGCTGTTGGTCCTTTTATAGTTGTCCGATCAGCTGGCCATACACAAATGGTGTTAATTTTGTCTGAAGATACTTCATATAAGAAAAGTTCTTTATCTGTTTTGTACACTCTCACTGCTGGCAATTCAGTAAGTGATTGACCTATTAATATATCCGCTGAAATAGAGCTGCAGAGACTATATAAGCTATTATCATAACGGCAACTGCATCAACTCTGATTCTGATAAGAACTTTCCCACTAGGGATTATCACACTATTACCAAAACCCTTAAGTGATTGTAAATCCTCTTGAATGGGCTGTAATCCTAACACTGTACACAAATTTTCACATATAATAGTGCAATCGCTTCCAAAATCAACAAATCCCTTCACCTTCACATCATTTACTATAACGTCTTTAAAATATTTTAGGTTAGTGTCACTGTTTTGTATTTTTAAAACTTTTTTATTAAATTGATGAGTATTAGGATTTCCTAACTTTGTAACGCAGTTACTTTCGTTATGACCATATCTATTACATTTATTACATTTAATTACTTCTTTCGTACACTGACTGACCACGTGACCAACTTCTTTACAGTTAAAACATGTAACACTATTCAAAGACTTTTTGAGCGTGACAGAAGGGTTTTTAGATAAGGATCGGTCAATTGAGTTTACTTGATCAATATGTTGTCTTCTAAAAGGCACTGAGTCTACAGTTCTGTTAGTTATGTTACGAAAGTAATCTAAAACGCTTTCAGGCGAGCTGTAGTTGGCACCCTGTACATTCATGCGTATGTTATGATCAAATATACCATGAGTTATGCAATCAACTGCTTGTTTACCTTTCAATTCACATCTATTAATTAACAAAATTTTATCGTAGTAATATTCCACTAATGTTTCATTTCTTCTACTTTTTCTGGACAGCATCTCTAACAATAAATCTCCATAATTTTGTTCACATGGGAATGCTTCAAGAAGCTTTTCCTGCCATTCAGTCCAGGTGGACTTAACGCTAGTAAGACCATCATACCATTTCTTTGCTAGGCCTACAAGTTTTGGGAGTGCATAAAATATAGTTTGACGTTCAGTCCATCCAAATATTTCAGCTGATTCGTTAATTTTTTGAAGCCAACTTTTCATTGTCTGACCTCTGGATTTGGGATCAAATTCAGAAATTACACTGTGCATCCCATGAATAAGAGGTGGAGCAGGAACAGAAGGCCTACACAAAGTCACATTTTCAGTAACGATAACGAAGTTAGAGAACTCCAAAATGTATGGAATTGACATATGCTTTCGAAAGATCACGTGATCGACCGTTTTCGATCGCTAATTGCTAGACAATGTCAAACTGCCTAACGAAGCGATAAAGAAAACGAACAACACGAACGATATTATCTTAGGAATGCGTAGACAAGTGGCACTTTTGACATTATAAATCGCTAGATGTCGAAACGTTCATTCGACAACTTGGCGAACACTTGAACCCTTTAGAAAAGCAAAATAACATGGCTGACCTGATTGTTAGTCAGCTGTTGGTGTTGTTTGCATCAATTATTGCTTGTTTCTTATATTTCGTGGTTTTTTGATAAAAATGCATACGTTGCGTTTACTAAGGGCTGCACATAATGAAAGTGTGTGGTTGAGGCGTCAAAAAAGATACAATTACCGGCAAACAATGGAAAGTGTGGAAGATATGCCTGAGTTACTGTTTGTTGAACATTTTCGTTTGAATAAGAGCACCTTTCGGCGGCTTTGCAACGATTTGCGTGTTCATACGTCGCTAAGAGGATCTAAAGAAATCCCTTTGAAAATTAAGGTAACCTTACTAAACGTTTACAAATACTTAAATAAATAAACAATAGTTTTGATGCAACTACGTTTGATTTCAACAGTTTCTTTACCTCATTACTTTATGTTTAGGTGCTCACTGCTCTTAATTTTTTAGCTACTGGTTCCTATCAAAGGATCGTGGGTGTTAGTCAAAATTTAACACAAAGAACAACGAGCCGGTGTGTCCGGCAAGTCGTTGATGCGCTCAACCACCCCACACTCATGAGCAAGTGGATTCAATTTCCACAAACAATACAAGAAAGATCATTAATCAAAGAAGAGTAAGTAATCATGCTTATGTTTCTAGGTAATGGTTAGCTAAAAAAATAAAGTATATTAAGTATATCTTAACTACAGTAATTATTAAATTTAAGTAACATGAATAGGTTGTTACTTCTCTGCCATATTATATTACAAAAATCTTCATTTTCAGATTTCAAAGGAAGTATAATTTGCCTGGAGTGATAGGATGCATTGACTGCACTCACATTGCTATAGTAAAACCAGCTGAAGAAGAACATGCTTTCTATAACAGAAAAGGATATCATTCCTTAAACGTTCAAATGGTTTGTATTTAAATCTAGAAATATTATTTCTGCTTTCATAACTACCAATTTTATTTGATACTACATAAAATTACATTTTCAGGTATGTGATCATAATTTAAAAATAATGAACATAAATGCTAAGTTTGGTGGAGCAACACATGATTCCCACATATGGTCATCGAGTCTCGTAGAACCCTATATGCGTCACCTTCATGAAAGTGGTGAACATGTTTGGTTACTTGGTAAATAAGATATTATAAGAGATAAGAGTAAGATATTTATAAGAGACATATATATATACCATTAAATATATACAAGTAGTATAACATAGGTAAGTATGCTTTAAATCTTTTCTCATTCATAACTTCTTGCTTTCAGGGGATTCTGGTTATCCACAACGCCCTTGGCTTATGACTCCAATATTAAATGCTCCACATGGGTCTCGAGAGGAATTGTACACCACTCGTCATGTACAAGCCAGGACATGTATTGAGCGCTGCTTCGGATTACTTAAAACACGTTGGAGGTGTTTGCTTCGTGACAGGGTCCTTCATTATCATCCCAACGTTGCCAGCAAAATAACACTTGCATGTTGTGTGCTACACAACATCTCGCTTCATGCACACTTGCCAGCTCCAAGTGATATCCCTGTTACTACTGTAGATGATAATGATGACTCCAGTACACAAACCACCCAAAGCACCACCACGGAGAATCGAAATGAATTAATCCGAGGCAGGGCAATGCTCAATTATTTAATAAGTAGATTGTAGATGTAGTTAAGTATCTATATTTATTAATTATTTAGCATTATAGCATATATATAATTGTTCAACTGTGCCAATATTTGTACAGAGTTGTTAAATATTAAGTATTGTTAGTTGTATAGACAAATAGTAATGTATAAAATTTGACTAAATGTTTCATTTGTTGCTTGGTTGGAAAAGTAGAGTAATGTGGTGTGACTATTCATTTTACAAGTTTTTTACTACCTTGCAGCCAGTCGGCTTTGAGGTTAAGTGAAAGATACAAGTGTCGTAATTTTTTTCGCTTAAATTTATTGTTACATTAAGTGCTGTTGAGTCACTATAGTAAATTTTTTTGTCTTGGTGGTGGTTTTAACATCTGGAGATTAGTAAGTGTTTTTAATTGTGCCGTTTTTATGTAAATTTTAGTTATAGAAATATTATGGAGGACGAACCTCCCGATCCCGAAAGGGTTCACAATGACTCCTTTACTTTACCCGTTGATTATGTAGAATCTATTAATCGTAAACGCGCCCAAATAAGCAATGAGTCTGCCCATCCACAAAAAATAGTTATTACTGATCCAAACCAACAGTTTCCTTCAATACAATCCTCATATACCCATCCTGATTTTATTAATAAGAAAGTAAAGTACTCTCAAGATGATACCGCTCCTTTTCTAGTTCACGTAAGTAAAACGTCAAATGATCAAGTGTCCGGAATAACTCTCAAACCAATTAAATTTGGTCACTTTCTGTATCATAATAACATTAAAAATATAGTCTGTGACGGCGTCAAAAAAGTTGGACGAAACAGGATATCAGTTGAGTTTAAAACAGCAGTGGATGCAAACACTTTTATTGATCACCCAGCTCTTCAGACTTCTAAATATGAAACAATTATCCCTTCATATAATATCACTCGTATGGGGCTAGTCAGACAAGTTCCTATAGAGTGGACATTACAAGAATTAATAGCAGCTATAGAAATTCCCTCTGGATATGGTACTATAATTAAAGCTCGCCGACTCAATAGACGATCAGTGAGTGACAGCAATAACGTTTCATGGATTCCAACTCAAACAGTAGTTCTAACTTTTTCTGGACAAAAACTTCCACCACATATTTACTGTTTTTACACCTCTATGCCAGTAGAAAAATATGTTCTGCCACTCATTCAGTGTCATAAATGTTGCAGATTTGGCCATGTTACTTCTCAGTGCCGATCATCCCCTCGCTGCTTTATATGTGCACAGAATCATGAAGGTTTATCATGTACTAAGCAAACTCCTACTTGTCTATTCTGCTCAGGACCCCACACAGCAAAAGACCCTACCTGCCTTGAACATCTAAGGCAAAAATCTATTAAACTAGTTATGTCACAAGAAAATTTATCATATTTAGAAGCTTCAACTAGATTCCCTCTGGTACGAAGATCCTTTGCTGACGCAACAAGAAGTCCGCCTCATAATTCTTCTCATCAGTCCCCTTATCCCATAAATGACAGTATTTCAGCTCCTTCGGCTCAGCCTTCACAATGTACATCATATAAAAAAACTTCTGAGTCTTTATTCCTCAACGTACTTACAGACAATCATCAAATTCTGGATATGATAAGCCAGCCCATCAGGCAATTGTTGAGAACCCTCCTTCTTCCCTTCCAAATGGGTGTGCTTTACTGGGGAATGACAACATCTCTAATAATGATAACTTCTGCGAACTTATGGTATCAATGTTAATTAACATGATTTCCCGTTTCAGTGACGCAGAACTTCCCCTCAGTTTACGTCATAAACTTACTCAGCTTACTTCAATAACTAACAACATTCACAATTCTACAATGGAATTGTCGGAGCATCAAACATAAAAATAATGAACTTATCTTTCTTATAAACAAATTTAGACCATCTGTTCTTGCCATTCAGGAGATGTGGCTTAGACCTGACTCCCAATTTAGGATCTCAGGTTATTCATGTCTTCGGGATGATAGGAGCGATGGACATGCTGGTTCCTCTATTCTGATCTCAAAAAAAATTATATATTCTTCTATACCTCTTCCTTCCGATCAGCTCCTCGATTAATGCTGTTGCAGTCAAGGCTCTCAACATATCTTTTCTGTCTGTATACATCCCTGATCCTAATGTTACCATCTTAAATGAACTTTTTAATCTTATTTCTTGTCTAACTCCCCCTGTTGTTATCATGGGAGATTTTAATATTCACCATACTTCATGGGGCTCACATCACTGTGATTCTCTATCATCTACGTTTCTAGATATGATAGACGACTTAAATCTTTGCATCCTTAATGATGGTTCTCCTACCCGCCGTGTTTCACCTTCTCAGAATGTAAGAAGTGTAGTGGACTTGACTCTTTGTTCTCCTGGCTTAGTTTCCCTTCTATCATGGAAAACATTACCAAATTCACATGGTAGTGATCACTATCCAATTTTTATCACATCTGCTGACTCTACAAGAGCAAATTCTGAATTCAACCCGAGGTTAAAATATAATTTATCAAAGGCAGACTGGCATTATTATTCTTCTGTTTTAGATCAAGCAACATCAACAATTCCTTCTTTGCATCATGAAAATGTACATTCAGTCTATATGGAATTCAAAAATACATTATTATCTTCTGCCAATAAGACTATTCCTTTAAAACAACCCTACAGAAGCAATTTGGTTTCACCTCCTTGGTGGGACCAGGATTGCACATCTGCTTGCAAAAAAAGGAAAGAGGCTGAACAAAAATACTCTTTATCAATGACCATGGAAAACTACATTTCCTATAAACAAATAGCAGCTGAAACAGTGAAATTGCTATCTCAGAAGAAAAAAAACGGCTGGCATAGGTTTTGTTCTACTTTATCTCCTTCCACACCTTCTCTAGTCTGGAAAAACATTAAAAGATATCGCTGTTCTAATACAGTTGAACAGAATGTGTCTTCTAATGACCCTTCAATTTGGCTTGAAGAATTTGCACTTAATCTTGCTCCTCCTTCAGTGCCCACACATGCTGAATGTTTAGTTTTTAATTCTCCTTCTACACAATCTCTAGATGAATTTGATGCCCCATTTTCTTACGAGGAATTATTTACAGTCCTTCAGGGTCTTAAGGACTCCTCTCCAGGAGTAGATGGGATTCCTTACTCATTCATTATTAAAAGCAGTAAAAAAACTAAAACTGTATTTCTTGACATTCTGAACCACATTTTTGACTCTGGAATTCCTCCCAAAGAATGGAAGACCCAAATAATACTTCCTATTCTCAAACCGGGTAAAGCCAGTGAAGACTTTTCAAGTTACAGACCCATTGCACTGTCGTGTACAATGGCAAAGATACTAGAACATTTGATAAAAAATCGGTTAGAATGGAAAAAGCTTAAGCACTATGGATAGCCTCAGTACACTAGTAACTGACATCCGTATTGCTTTTTCTAAAAATGAATACCTTGTTGGAGTCTTTCTCGATATTTCATCTGCATACGACAATGTACTTCTTCCTGTACTCAGGCAAAAAATGCTGAAGCTGAGTATACCAGTGAAGATAGTAAATTATATATCAAACTTTTTCTCTTCTCGGTCTATTTTAATAAACTTTCAAAACTCACTACTCCCTCCCCGACATATTTGGAAAGGTCTTCCACAAGGCTCAGTCCTCAGTCCTATTCTCTATACTATCTACACTTTCGATTTAGATCTTGCAGTCAATTCATTTTGTAATGTCCTACAGTATGCAGATGATTTAGCCCTATACATTTCTACAGATAACCTGACTACAGCTAATTCCCGGTTAAATTCTACTATGGAATATTTACAATGCTGGTTAACTGATCATGGTCTATCCCTGTCTGTTTCCAAAAGCAGTATAGTGATTTTTACTCGCCATAAGAATGTCCCTAATATTCCAGTTTTATATAATGGCTTACCTATTCCTATTCGGGACAAGGTAAAATTTTTAGGTATGGTACTAGATAATAAATTATCCTTTACTCAACACATTGAATACATTTCTAAAAAGTGTGAGAAGAATATAAATATTCTTCGTTCCCTTTCAGGAGTGTGGTGGGGATCTCATCCTTTTTCACAAAAGCTACTATATAATGCTATAATTCGTAGTCATTTAGATTATGGATGCTTTCTTTTAGAGCCTTGCAATAAATCGTCACTTAAAACTTTAGACAAAATACAGTACAAATGTCTCCGCATTATAATTGGTGCAATGATCATTGTACCTAGGCTATGTTAGCATAAGGTACAAACTCGTTAAACAATATTAATTAATTAACTTTTGCTTGCATCCTAATATTCATGTAAATTAACGGTGGGGATATGGCGCTGACAGCTGATGCACAGGTCTCCTAGTTCGGCTGCAGATGCTTTTTCAAATATATGTACAAAATTAGCTTTATTAAGTGTTAAGCAAATATCTGGTTGTACTATGTACCTTTTTGGAAATAAAGAATTATTATTATTATTATTATTAATGAAATCTTCCCCAATTAATGCCCTTCAGGTAGAGTGCGTAGATCCTCCTCTCAACATAAGAAGACAATATCTTTCAGACAGATTCTTCTTTAAGATCTGTCAACTCTCTTCTCATCCCCTAATTCCCAGGTTACACCTCCTCTCAGAATTCTTATCTTCAAGTAGGTACTGGCTCCATAAAGATTGTCCACATTTATTTAATAGCTTAGTCCCATTTCTCCAAATTCCTGGGCCCATTTTCTCATGCAATACAAGTCCACTCTTTAATACTCCTTTCACAGCTATTATATATCAACCTAACATTCACTTTGACCTAGATATTAGAAAAGGTTCCCCTGAAGCAGATTTAAAATTAAAAGAAGCCATAGGGAAAAATTGGAAAGATTGGATGACCATGTATACAGATGCATCCAAAAATACTGATGATGGCTGCACTGGTGCAGCTGTCTGGATCCCCAGGTTTAAAATAATCCTTAGCTTTAAGTGCCCCTCATTATGTTCCATTTTTACTGCTGAGACAATTGCAATCCATGAAGCTCTGCTATATATTGAATCACATAGCCTAGACAAGACAGTGATCTTTAGCGATTCTAAGAGTTGTTTATCTGCTATTTTGGCTAACCAATTTCAAAGTAAATATAAATTTCCCCTAATTCTTGATATAAAAAGCATTCTGTATAGGTGTCATCTTAAAGGGATTTCTGTCTGTTTAGCCTGGATACCTAGTCATAGTGGTATTTGTGAAAATGATAAAGCAGATTTGTGTGCCAAAGAGGCTACTAGAAATGGCACCCCACTAAATGTTACTTATTCCCATGACTTGCTGTCACTTGCTAGGAAAAAGCTTGTTAATACGTGGAATGAGATATGGAAAGCATCACAAATACTAAAAGGCAAGCACTATGCTGCTATACAAGATAATATTCCATCAAGACCTTGGTTTTTCATATTTAATAAAGCAAACAAACGTGCCACATCTATTGTCTGCCGGTTGAGAATTGGACATGCCTGTACCTATGTTCACCTAGCTAAACTCAGGATTAGGGATAGTTCTCTGTGCGAATGTGGTTTAGATGAGGGAAACACTAATCATATTTTTTTTAACTGCACCAAATTGTCATCATCTCTTTACGATTATCTGCCCCCTGACATCCCTCGTCCCATAGACTTTAACTCCCTTCTAATCTTCACAAATACCTCTTTTGTATATATTTTATGTGATTTTATTAACTCTAACAACATTAAACTATAATTTGTTTGTCATATAATAACACATTTGTATTGTTCTAACAACATTGTCTGTCTTTTGTTTTAGGTGATTCAGCAGTTAAGTTGACCAAAATCATTCACATAATATTCGTTTGTTACCATTTCTTGTATTATCAATTTCCTTTTTTAAGCAGAGTTTGTGTCCCAATTAAACCTTCTCACATGTAACATGTCATTGGCGAATTCATCGTAACCGCCATAAAGGAAGAAGAAGAAGAAGTACTACCTTGCAATGTTTGTATTGTTACGAACTTCAGGTTCGAGACAATTAAAAACTGCCGATTAAATTACCAAAATTGACACTTTAATTACACAACACTAATTACAATCAAAAATCACACTAATAATAAAACACAGTTCGCCGTTATTTCGCTTCGAAGTATTCTCTTGTATCGCCAATTCAATACTGCCCCGGTCGTGGTCTATACCGGCCTTATATAGGGCCGCAGATAGTTTCCAGAACCTTCTACTGTAGCGACATCTAGAATGTTCGAGTACATATCGGTCCCGAAATTTCTGGAAGGATCTCGACTCTCCTAGTTCTGCTACTCGACACTAGAGGGCGCTAGTGTGACTAGTGTTGCCATGTACAAGACATTAATAGTGGCGCGCAATACTTTCATTTACTCGACACTAGGGGGCGCTAGTGTAACTAGTGTTGCCATGTACAAGACATTAATAGTGGCGCGTAACACTGCCCCCTCCTAAGACATGCTCGTCCCGAGCATTATTGGCCCCATAATAACGCGCCAGTCGATCCACATGGACAATCTTAGGAGTACCTCTGGCACCTTTCTGTATCCGGTAGGTTACGTCATTGATCCTTGTCACAATCCGGTACGGTCCGTCCCATTTAGCTTGAAGCTTAGGAGATTTCCCTTTGCTGCGAACTGGATTGTGTAACCACACTAGAGAACCTTCATCAAACCCCTTGTTGTTCATTTTGCGGTCATACCGTGTTTTCATCTTCTCAGACGTTTGCTGGCCCGTCTGTCTGACGTGCTCATAAATGTCATTCATTTTGTTCCGCAAGTCATTTGCATAATCGGTTATACTGCGTGGGGCATCAGGTGGTATTCCGGTGATCAGGTCTGCAGGCAGCCGCAATTCTCTCCCAAAGTTTACGTAAGCTGGTGTCACTGATGTACTTTCGTGAACAGCGCTTCGATATGACAACAAAAACGGTTGTATGTGCCTATCCCAGTCTCTTTGTCGTTTTTCCACAACTTTTGCTAGGTACCTCTCCAATGTCTGATTAAATCTTTCTACCATTCCATCAGATTGTGGGTGGTAAGAAGTTGTTCGTGTTTTCTGAGTACCCATAACTCGGCAAGTTTCCTGGAATATTTGAGACTCAAAATTCCTTCCTTGATCGCTGTGAATCTCTAAAGGTACTCCAAAACGACAGAAGATTTCATGAACTAGTTTATCTGCAACGGTTGAAGCTTCTTGATTTGGAATGGCGAAGACTTCTGGCCACTTAGTGAAGTAATCCATCACGACCATGAAATACTTGTTACCACTTTCAGTTTCTGGAAACGGCCCCGCAACGTCAATGGCTATCCTCTCCCATGGTGCACCAACATTGTACAATTTCAATGCGCCCCTACTACGAATTTGAGGTCCCTTTACAGCCGCACAACTTGTACATTTGCGGCACCAGTCCTGGACATCGTCACGACAGTGGACCCAGTAAAACCGTTCTCGGATCTTCAGGAGAGTTCGTTTAACTCCCAGGTGGCCTCCTGAACAACCACTATGGTACAGCTGTAGAATATCCGGCACTTTAGCCTTAGGGACAACCATTTGCAAATGACACCTGTCTCCCCGACCATTTTCCCATTTACGGCACAGGACTCCATCCTGAATCAGCAAGCTGTCCCATTGGGCCCAATAGCTTTTCGTGGTCGAACTCATTGCTGAGACGTCGCTCCACTTGGGCTTAGGAGCACTGGCCTTCATCCATTCCAGAATCGGCTTAATGTCCGAATCTTCCTGCTGTGCATGTTGTAGGCTGTCCTTCCACTCATTGCTGAGCTGGTCTGTCCTGAGCATTCTCACAGATACCACTTCCTTACCCTCTTGCCTAGTACAATGCTTGCAATCTTCAGGGCAAGGTCTTCTTGACAATGCATCTGCATTGCCATGAGATTTCCCGCTGCGATGTTCGATCACAAAGTCGTATTCCTGCAGTAGTTCTATCCATCTCGCAACTTGTCCTTCCGGATTTTTGAACTGCAATAGCCATTTCAGTGCAGCATGGTCAGTTCGTAAGTGGAATTTCCGCCCTAGAAGATATTTGCTAAAATGCTGCAAGGACTTTACCACAGCAAGCAATTCCCGTCTTGTGACACAATAGTTCCTTTCCGGCTTTGACAACGACTTGCTGAAGTACGCTATCACAATCTCTTGATCACCATTCCGTTGAGACAACACACCGCCAAGTCCTATATCACTTGCGTCTGTGTCAACTATGAATTCCTTGCCCGCATCAGGGTACCCCAAAATAGGTGTTTTGCACAGGCGGTTCTTGAGCTCCTGGAATGCAATATCGCAATTTTCATCCCAGCAGAATTGTCGCTTCTCCTCGGTTAGCTTGTACAGAGGTTTGGCTATATCTGCAAAGTTCTTCACAAATCGCCGATAATAAGAGCACAAACCCAAAAATGCTCTAACCTGTGTCTTGTCTTTTGGGACCGGCCACTCCTTGACAGCAGCAATTTTCTCTGGATCCGTGCGGATACCTTCTTCCGACACTACATACCCCAAAAAACTAACTTGCTGTTTGAATAGTGAGCACTTCTTTGGACTCAACTTGAGGTTGGCACTCTGGATCTTCATGAGCACGCGTTCCAGGTTTGAAGGTGCTCCTCAAACGTACGGCCTACGATGATGATGTCATCCAAATAGACGAGACAGGCATCTCCAATTAGCCCGGTAAGTACAAGCTCCATCAACCTTTCAAACGTTGCTGGAGCATTGCACAATCCAAACGGCATGACTTTAAATTGCCACAGACCCTTTCCTGTGGAAAATGCAGTTTTCTCCTTGTCCTTAGGGTCAATTTCAACCTGCCAGTAGCCACTTTTCAGGTCCAGCGTACTAAACCACTTTACGCCTGTGAGCATATCCAGCGTGTCATCAATTCTAGGCAAGGGATAGCTGTCCTTCTTCGTAACGTCGTTCAGGCGGCGGTAGTCAACACAAAACCGCATGCTGCCGTCCTTCTTCTTTACCAGCACCACAGGTGAACACCATGGACTAGATGAAGGTTCAATAACACCATCCTTCACCATTCCCTCAATCATGGTTTCCACTTCCTTTTCACGTGCTACAGGCAATCTTCTTGGCCGCTGACGAATAGGCAATTCTTGTCCTGTGTTTATTTTGTGTTGAACTAAGCCAGTCTTTCCTATGTCAGCTTCGTTTGACGAGAAAACATTGGCGTACTTGAGTAACAACTTCTTCGCCTTGACCATTTCATTCGGGGAGAGAACGCTGCGACAGTCTTCTAAAAGTGTGGTCACTCTCGTTTGTCCATCCTTGCTAGGGGTCCCGGTCGATAGATATTCGCACCGACGCAACCAATCCACTTCCTCACTAATACCAACCAATGTGCCTTTTTCTATAATCTGATCCTGATCACAAAGGTTCAACACACGTACTCCTGAGATGTCGGTGGTTCTGACCAAGGTTCGAGCCACTTTCCATGGAAGTTCATTGTCTACCCTTTCCACGAGTACACAACGATGAGCTTGCCCAGGACTCCGAGGAAGACTAACCGGCACAATCGTTTCCGATCTTGGCGGAAGAACAATCTTCTTAAGGCTGTACACATTCCCTGGTAACGCCCCTTCCATGAAAAGTTCTTCTTGTCCACATTTCAAAACACCTTGCTTAACGTCGATCTCACAACAATTCTTCCTCATAAAGTCTAGGCCCAGGATGCAGTCGTCCATTATATCAGCCACGATGACATTATGCAGGTAATTCATGTTGCCTAGCTTCAACTCCATCTCCTTCTCTCCACGGACGGGTATGCGCTGACCAGTGGCTGTCACCAAATTAATGCGTTCTCGATTGTATGCGGAGTCACCAAGGAACCGACTTATAAGTTGGGAACTGACAACCGTGCGAGAGGCTCCAGTGTCTATGGTCAGTTTACATGGCGTTCCGTTGACTTCGCCCTTGATGATTAGGCTGTTCCCATCATGAGTTTGTGAGATCGAAATCCTTGGGGCTCTTTTAACATCAGCCAGCACCCGCCAGTTTCCCTGCTGCTGCTGGGCGGTGCTATTATCCGCACTAACCTCTCGAGATCGATCACCTTCCCTTTTTACAGTTCGCTTAGGGCAGCTGGATCGAAGATGGCCCCTTTCTCCACAGCCGTAGCACCTAGGGCTGTAGCTTTTATTGCGGTCCTGAACTTTAGCTGCTGCAACCTCCCTGACGCGGTGGGAACGATGATCCTGCCGCACGGCTTCCACCTCCAGTGCATGGGTCAAGGCGTCCTTAAGCGTCTCGTGGTGCCCGAGCCTCACAGCAGCTCTGACTTCAAGGTCGCGGATGCCGTCGATGAATGTCTGCACCAGGTTCCCTACAATAAGCGTAGGTACAGACTGGTACGCTTTTCGAACCAGCTTCTCCACCTCAAGGGCCCACTGCTGCAGGTTTTCGTTACTGCGTTGCACGCGATCTTTGAGCTGCGCACGAAAGACGTGTTCCAGGTGAGCGTCGCCATATCTCGCCTCCAATGCCTCAAGGAGCTGCTCGTAAGTCACTTCCTTACCGAGAGCTTCCAGAACAGTTAATGCCTGGTCGTGCAGGCCTAGGGTGAGAGCAGTCATGGCCTGACTTTTATTCCAGCCGTTCGCTTTCATGACAGCCTCGAACTGGATTTTATAGGCCGACCAGGAAGAAGTCCCGTCGAACGGTGGCACTTTGAATCCACGTAGCGAAGGTGTTGTAGCTACCACGGGAGCTGTAACTCCATCCCCAAGTTTGAGGTCGTCCAGCGTTTTCTTCACATCAGCCATCACGTTGTCAACCCGATTGTTCACTTGGTCGATTCGGGTTTCAGCTTCCGACAGGCGGTTGTCATGTTGAGCAACCCTATCCTTCACCTCCTTTATCTCTTTCCCGAAGGTAGCGTGAAGGTCCTTCCTGAGGAGCATCTGTTCTTCCATACCGCGCTGCAGCTGCTCTTCCAGCCGACGGGTCTGTTCCTCCTGTCGGCGGGCCTGTTCCTCCTGTCGGCGGGCCTGTTCCTCCTGTCGGCGAGCCTGATCCTGCAGCATCATCATCAGAGCACCTAAGTCAGGTGCTGCAGATGCAGGAGCTGCTGACGGGCCAGCCTCCGTGGTTAGCAACTGGCCCTCCGACGTTTGCGGCGTTGCATTACCAAATCGTCTCTGGTCCGTCTCCTGTTGGCGTTGACTTCGGGTACGGATACCCTCCGTGTCGTCTTTAGGTAAAATCGGCATATTTGATCCCACTTCTGACACCAATTGTTACGAACTTCAGGTTCGAGACAATTAAAAACTGCCGATTAAATTACCAAAATTGACACTTTAATTACACAACACTAATTACAATCAAAAATCACACTAATAATAAAACACAGTTCGCCGTTATTTCGCTTCGAAGTATTCTCTTGTATCGCCAATTCAATACTGCCCCGGTCGTGGTCTATACCGGCCTTATATAGGGCCGCAGATAGTTTCCAGAACCTTCTACTGTAGCGACATCTAGAATGTTCGAGTACATATCGGTCCCGAAATTTCTGGAAGGATCTCGACTCTCCTAGTTCTGCTACTCGACACTAGAGGGCGCTAGTGTGACTAGTGTTGCCATGTACAAGACATTAATAGTGGCGCGCAATACTTTCATTTACTCGACACTAGGGGGCGCTAGTGTAACTAGTGTTGCCATGTACAAGACATTAATAGTGGCGCGTAACAGTATGTTAGATCTCACAACTTTTTGTTATGTTTTTGGTGAGATTGTTTATAAAACATTGATTAATAAAATAGTCTACATAATTATAGAGATGACATTTTGATTTTTTTTATTGTGTTTCACCATTCACCTGTGCTAGTCCTAACTTAATTGAGGTCAGCGGCGTATGTGGTACTTTCCTTTCATACTCTTTCAGCCATCATCTTAGTATCTACACTCGCACCCCATTCTGGATGTTATTAAAATAAAAAATGGTCAAAACAAGTGTTATAATAATAATAATTGTTTATTGCCTCTAAAACACAGTTACATAAGGTTAAAACAAAAGAATATTATAATTATTGGAGACAAAATGAGACAGCTCAGCTTTGTCTGTAACGAGATACAGATCTGGTACAGAGCTGTTTTTCAGCCGCTCCCTCCTCCCTGAGGTGTTGTGCGGGAGTCCAAAGTTGCATGCTCCCCATTTACCTGACTTATACTTAAAAACTAAATTACGTACAAGGTAATTAAATGTGATAATAAATTTCAAATACAAAAAAAAATGACTAAAAACATTAAAGACAAAAAAAAACAATAAAAATATGCATAAAAACAACCATTACAAAATAAACTAACACCAGATTAAATAAAAGAAAATGAAACCAACACGGGAAATAGAAAATATACATAACCAACTCTTTTATTTTATTACAACTACTTGAATAAGAACTATCTAGGTACATACACTGAACTATCTACTTATTAAATAACAATATTAAACTTTGAATAAACTAAAAGTAGTATCAGTACTAAAAATAAATCTTATTAGTACTAAATTTAAAAGTCTTTAAAGCTGTTGAAATTAAAGTATTTCTAACATTATCTTAAACTAGTTTTTATGGACGAATTTCAATAGTAGCGGATATCTAACCGTGAGGTCTCGGATTTGATCCCCGGGTTGGGCAGTGTTATTGGGTTTTTCCATTAGAAATTCCTCCATATTAGCTTGGAGTCGGAGTTTGTGTACAGTTACATAAGGTTAAAACAAAAGAATATTATAATTATTGGAGACAGCTCAGCTTTGTCTGTAACGAGATACAGATCTGGTACAGAGCTGTTTTTCAGCCGCTCCCTCCTCCCTGAGGTGTTGTGCGGGAGTCCAAAGTTGCATGCTCCCCATTTACCTGACTTATACTTAAAAACTAAACTACATACAAGGTAATTAAATGTGATAATAAATTTCAAATACAAAAAAATGACTAAAAACATTAAAGACAAAATAAAACAATAAAAATATGCATAAAAACAACCATTACAAAATAAACTAACATCAGATTAAATAAAAGAAAATGAAACCCACACGGGAAATAGAAAATATACATAACCAACTCTTTTATTTTATTAGAACTACTTGAATAATAACTATCTAGGTACATACACTGAACTATCTACTTATTAAATATCAATATTAAACTTTAAGTAAACTAAGAATAGTATCAGTACTAAAATTAAATCTTATTAGTACTAAATTTAAGTCTTTAAAGCTGTTGAAATTAAAGTATTTCTAACATTATCTTAGTTTTTATGGACGAATTTCAATAGTAGCGGATATCTAACCGTGAGGTCTCGGATTTGATCCCCGGGTTGGGCAGTGTTATTGGGTTTTTCCATTAGATTTCTTCCATATTAGCTTATTGCTCCGTATTGTCCCTACTCCGATAGTGGTCAAACCACGCTTGCGCAATGTCTGCAAACATGCGTAACACTTGATTACGCTCGTGGTCAACCTCTATTGGAGGTGGGTAAAGTGTATGATTTTTGGGATTGGAACATTTGCATCTTGATCACTGAAATGTTCCGAAACACTGATATGTTTCATTTGGCTCATTTGTATCATCGACTCCAAAAGATATGAAAGAATGTTCCGAATACATTAAGTTGCGTCGCGGGCGTTTATTACTGACTGATCCGTGAAATGTTATGCGGCAAAAATGCTGAATAATATAAGTGCTTAGATTATTTATTGTGTACCATAATAAGATTGTATATAAAATCGATTCTCCTTCATATTTTAACAAAAATGTCACTATGTCAATTCATTATTTACAAAAATGTCCATTTACACAAAACAGCAATGTCTATGTACACAGAATTTACTCGTAAAGTATCATAACTCTAAACTTTATGATGAAAAGGAAGAAAGTAAAGTCACAATAATCACTACGTAAAGAAATCCTAAACATAACTCAGTATGTTTTCGTAAACAGGCGTTAATGAATATAATATAAACAATTTGACAAGTGCCGCATCAACGTAAAATGACAACTTGTTAATGCAAACGTTACATACAAAAAACGACCGTATAGTATTTGACACATAAGCAGGCGCTTTAGTGGTAATTTTTACTTGCATGAATAACGTCAGCGAAAATCCGTACGAGTTGAGTGATACACTTCTTATTTGTTATCTCTATCTGACTTGTGTGAATTATAATAATTTCGCCCGCTCACTCGCCACTCGTGACTCAATAGTTAAGTTAATCATTGTCTCAGTCTCTCTCTCGCTCGTGGCTCAGTCGCCTCGCAAGCGACGCGTCGCGCGAAATGAGCAAAGAGCAAAGTAATGTTTCACTGTTCCAGATACAAATGATACTTTTGAAACGTTGTTACTGAACCAATCTTTTGTGTCACTTCAGTGATTCGTATCAGTGAGTCGTTTCCGTAAAGATATACACACGCCTAACCTCTATCCTTCGGGTTTCCAGCTCATACAGCTGCCTGTCTCTTCTCTCCTCCTGCCGAAGACGTAACTGTTCGATGGCAACGAACTCACTCGTCGCTCTGTCGAATGGTGTGAGTGTACGCCTCCGGCGAGCCCTTAGAGACGTTTGTGTGGGGGAAGCAGTTATCCCAGAGCTCGGGGTTGGTGGGAATCGTCGCCTGCAGGTCGGCGGAGGGGTAGAAGGTGCAGGTTGCACTCTTGAACTCCTCATGGATTGCGATGTTGAGGTCTCCTGTGTGAGGGTGTGCGGTGGCTGCCAGCTGCAAGATGGTGTAGGAGTAGTGGGCGCAGGTGGTGATATTGCCACAGACTGTAAACAAAATGAACTTGAATTCAAATACCTACTTAATAAAGTATTTATAAAATATTAAAATATTTAGTAGTATGTAGCTATACATACGATTGGCTGTTGTGATTTCACAATCAACTGTGTCTTGTTGGTGCGTGGCTGGTGGTGGACTCAGGGCCAGAGTTGGCGAGGAGATGACTTGTGATAGTCCCTGCAAAAAAATGACTTGAAATCTTAATTTAACTAATATCTAACCATAACATATCATATAAAACCTCTTGTGACATTACTCATTTCATTAAACTAGGCATTTGATTAATTTTTCATTTGAATATTTTAATTAATTATATCGTCGCATAAGTTCTAACACCGCGGAAGTCCAAAAAATGCCAATTTGACTTTTGCATGTCATTCGATAGACGATCGAAAGACGCATCTCTAGACCAATCAGAATCAGGGATTTCAACCAATGAGAGCGTTTTATTTTGAAAACAAATCACAGCGTATCTGCGTGGTGCGGGAATCGTCTTGCAAACAGCGCGTAAGTCAGTAACTTTCGTACTGTAACAGGTGGCGACTTGTGCTCTGAAGAAGTACAAATCACAAATCAAGGTAAATATAATTCATATTAATATTGTCATGTGTTTATCTAAGAGATACAAACTTGATCTTTGATTTTTATGTAAAGTTAAGTCTAATTATCGTGTATATTATTGTATAAAATAGGATGAAAATGTTATTTTATTTACGCGGTGTTATGCTTGATGAAAAAATGACTTACGCGGTGTTTTTATAACGGTTTTTAATTTGCAGATATCAAGAAACCATGGACTATCCAATGATGATAAAAGTAAAGAACTAGGGATAAGAATACCGCCGAAAAAGAAAAATGACAATATTACCACCAGGGATAACTTAGAAAACATTGACATTAACAACTTGCCCGTTGTTATAATACCCGACAATACCTACGTAAGCAGCGAGGTGAATGTACATGAACTTTCCGAATTCCATAACAATGTAATGATGGTAGAAACTACAGCTCACTCGCCTATGTTACCGTCGAATGAAGAACCTATTGATATAAATTTTGCGCAAACAAGTGTAACAGACCCTACATTAATGGAAGAATCAACAGACCTTGCAGTACCGATGGCGAGTCCCTTGCCTTTGAATGACGAGGTCGAATAATATGGTGATCTTAATTCTGGTCGAAAAAGATGTTCAAAGGGATGTTCAGTGAACAAAAACTGGACTAAAAATAATAACAAGAAACTTAGAATGGAGGGAAAAGAATATTTAGGGTATAGGCGAGATAGCAATGGTCCAAAGTTTAGGGTATTACATGACACTATTAGGCCAGCCCGAATAATTGGCCTTCGATGTACTTCCGAGTTTAGTAAAAAATCAAAGCTTCGTGCTTATGATACAATACCAGAAGAGGAACGAAACACCCTTTTCTCCAATTACTGGAATAATGTGACGTGGGAACAGCGTAAACAATACGTTGTATCAAATGTTCAGGTATGCCCAAAAAAGCAGGTCAAATGTAAATCATCATCATCTAGGCGTGGTGATACCAAAGAGTATTTTTTAGAAACTTCAAATGGACGTGCTCAAGTCTGCAAGCATACTTTTCTGAATACGTTCGGTATCAAAGAATGGACAGTCAGGTATTGGCTGTCGATGTCTGAGCTTGGAATGGCAAAGAAACGCGAACTGACTCGTAAGGTTTTGGAAGGACCCTCAAAGAAAGATGAGGTAGCTTTTCTTAAAGATTTACTAAACAGTTTGCCAAAGATGCCTTCTCACTATTGTAGAGCTACCTCTTCTAGAGAATATTTAGAGCCTATCATCGAAACCAATAATCATCTTTTCAAAATTGATTGCGAGAAGTGTAAATCAGAAAATAAAGAACCCGTCAGCCGATGGTTTTTTTTGACTACTCATACAAAGCTGATTTTTTGTACGAGTCCATCCGGCTTGCCCGAGTTGCCAACGATCCTACAGTCACAGATTTGAGAGCTTTGGAATATAACCCTAACGGCATTATTAACTACAAGTTAAGCTTTCAGGATGACTATAAAATTTGCCCAGAAAAGCCAAAAATAATAGGACAAGACCGGGCCCAAGGACTAAGCTTTATAATAATCATCAAAAAATAAATGAATCCAAATGGAAACATCTGCAAGAACTATAGTCAGTTATTCCGCCTGACTGTCATAGTTTTTACGACACTTTACTTCATTAAGATTTTATAATGACTGATATTGTATTTTTGTTATTTTGATATAATATGTATAACATATAATATACTTGTCAGTATTCCATTTTGATGTAAGATATTTTATACCAAATAATTATCCAGGTTAACAAACAGTGCAATAAAGTAAAATTGTTAATCATTTGTAATGAAAAGTTAAGAAGAGTGGTTAAAAAGTTGTAGAAGAAAATGTATTATGTTTTGTTATTTTTTTAAGAGGTATAAGTCTACCTGTTATTTTTATTTTAATTGAAATAAATGATTTATAAATATTTACAGTGTCTTTATAACTCAGCGTAAGTCTCCCCATAACCTTTATTTTAATGTGGTAACACCGCGTATGTCAGAAAAATAATACAAATAATATTTTTTTACAACAACTTTAACAAAAATCTTGAAATTGATCTATTTTTATAAATTATCACATAAAAATTTATATATTAATATTGCGATATATAATAGGGCATGGTTTTTTGCTCTCCTGAAAAGTTGCCATTTTAGATTTCCGCGGTGTTAGAACTTAAGCGACGATATGTTATTTTATTAATTAAATACATGTTTTAAATATTCAAGTGATCAGTTAACCCTGAATTTTAAATGAAGTAGTGCGATACTTACAAAGCCTTGTTCCTGAATGCTTGGCAGACCATCCACAGTCAAATTCCCCATGATGGCCAACACCCTCTCCTCAAAAGCTGTGAGGGTTTGGCGAATACTCGGCCCACCACCAGTACCACTTGCATGACGCCTTATTAGTGATGCTTTTTTTTCTGTTTTCGACTTCCAGTCGGCCCATACCTTCGAAATTAATTAAGCAATATGTAGGAAAGTTAGGTAATAAGTAATAATAGTGTATATTAATAGTAAATGGTATAAATAAAGTAAAGCATAAAGTGATTATTACCATATATAGCTGTTGAATTTGTTACCTTTTTCCATTTGTCTGCCGATTTATTTACTCCACCACCAATGGAGTTTAATGTTACTGCCAACTCACACCACAGCCGCTCGGATTTCAAGCGCCCTTGAGGCCCACATCGGGGATTGGATAGATCGCCGTGACTGCAATTGAACAAACAATAGGGCAATAAGCAACGGATTGTTAACATCACGTCATTGTTTACATTGAGCATACTCAGTCATTTGAATTTAATTAAGTTCATGGTTTAGATGAATACTTCTTAACCTTTCCATGAACTCCAAAAGGGTCGAAAATTGTTGACCACTGGCTCGCACTCGTGGATCCATTGTAATTATCCTTAAAAACGGAAAAAAGCTTGTCAGTTCCCGCTTGTTTATCGTTATAAATATGTAATATACTCACAATCATTGATATCCAGTAAACTTGTGTAATTTTGGCACTCACAATAATTTTACGAAGTTAAGAAACTTACCTTTCTTATAATTATATAATTCTTTACTTAACTAGTTAATTCAAAACTCCAATAATTTCACTTTCACCGAGCAAACTTTAATATAACGTTAACAAGTACACTTTGTTTCACAACCTAATAAGAAGTGGTTTGTTTGTTTATATTTAGCGCGCCTTGAATTTGACGTTTCATTTCGAGACCATAGTCAAGAAGTTGTTTTTTATCGAAAGAACGTTTCGACTTAGCGTTAGGTTTGCCGATGTCACTTTGTCTACCACTTGTCGTTCGATATCGCTAAGACGAAATCGATTTTCGAAATGGATTAGACACGGAGCGAATGCCACTTGTCTAGGCCCTCTGGTTCTTTAGTATTCTCATTTTGCAATGTGTTCATTAAAGATCTCAGTAAATGTGTATTTTGGTCCGGATTGTCCTTAGTCGAAGGCCTCGAAGAATGTGTGTGACACTTGCGACTATTCTTGTTACGCCTACTACATGATCTTGTGCAACTAGCATCTGATGTTGAAGATGAAGTTGATGATGAGGTTGATGATGATGCATCATCAAAAGAGCTAAATGAGCTTTCATGTTTTTGTTTATTACGCTTACTGTATTTTGAATTTCTTTTTGTCTTATTTTTATTATTCAAACCTTTATGTCTTCTCTTGTTCTTGTTTTTATTTAAATTCATATCAAGGCTATCAGAACAGCTTACTGACTTAACCATTCTACTTTTATCTAAAGGTGGGGTATAGCGATCAGACATAATTAACTGGAGAAGGAACAACTAAAGTAGGATAAGGATTATGTTTGCTCTTTATTTTGTTTTTGCTGAAACAAAGCAATATTTAAGGTACTGGGAAATAAATATATATGTGTATTTCCTTTTTCTTTCACTATGTAATAATAAGAAAGGAAGATAGCATACACAATTTTGTGTAAATTAAAAAAGTTGTAATCTGATATTTACTATTTGGTTGTATTAATTCCAAGATTATTCTTTTGTTTATTTATGTATTTAATGTACCATGAACAAACAAAATTTACTTATTGATGAAATCTTTAGTAATTGTAATTTAAAATAACGACCTAACTTTTTACCACACTTCCAGTTCTAAACCCAATTCTAAGTTTCCAGTCTCATCAGGAAGTTAGTCTAAAATTGATTGAAATACTTGCACCAATCAAACAAACAAAGCAACATTTTCATCTAGTTTTGGGCTAAAATAGTGTCCAAGAAGGGGGGCAGGATGGTAAGTAGCAAACATAACACAAATATTATCAACATAGCAGCCAACATAAAAGTTTATATGTATAGGTTTGTTTTTATTAAGTTTTCTTACTTAAATCTTTATGTAAAAGAAAACAAGAATTATATTAGTAATTTAATATGATTATAGTTATTCATCCAATCCATAAAATTATGACTATAATTAATATTAATATTAAAGAATAATAAGACAGTATATGTGTGTATATACAGTAATACCTATAATTATAATTAAAAAATATAGTTAAGAAATAACAAAAGCAAAATTAGTAATAACATTTCATCAAATCAAGTATACATTTGTAAGAATTTTTATAAATTACTGTTTTTGTTTTTTAATACTAAACTATATGGACAGAAAAGTACTATATAAATACCTTATTATATAATATTATCCTACTTAGTTCTTGATGCTAAATAACTAAGAATGAGTGAATTGTAAAAATGAGTCAGATTCTTAAAATTTATCTTATGATTAAATACGGTATATATTTTGGGGCTTAGCTTTCCATTGACTCCCGTCGAGTTGGGGGTTGATACGTATTTTTACAGAAAAGGTACACTATTATAAGCACACACACAAAGTTACAACATGCGGAAATGCGTAATTTTTGAGAAAAAATTTATTGAAAATCAATTATTCTTGCATTGTTTATATCTAATCCTACCATAAAACTGACGCCATTTTGTAATGTCATTGTCGTCAGTAGGGATGTCGATTCTTTCCGAAAAAGGCGATTTTTAAATCGATTCAAATCGTAAGCTGATGTATCGATTCATAAAAAATCGATTTCTAAAATATCTATATTTTTTTATGTTTGCATTTATAATGTAAATATAATTCCATTTTATGAAAAACAAGAAAGATACCATAATAAATGATCTCTTATTGAATTTTGTTTTATTTTAACAGTACCAATTAGGACAGATGACAATTAAAATAGGTTCAACTTATGTCATAGAACCGAATTGATTGACCCCGACTCCACCTGGTAAGAGTCTGTCCTACCCCTAGAGTGGTTTTAAAGAGCCGGAGGCGCGTAGGGGGAGCAGCCTCCGCCTGCTTATACAAATCGTAGGCATCGGACGACACGGAGCGGCTGAGGCTGGTCGCCGAAGGCGACCAACAAGCCGAAGCTGCGGAGGCGAGGAGGGATGCCTGCGATTTGTTACGCTAAGGCGTAGAGGCTGCGCTTCCCGCAGCGCCGGAGACGTAGCAGTTTCAAAATAGATACAGAAATCCTTCTGAATCAGTCCCCCTATATTTTATGATGAAGGGGACTTTTTTCTCATAAAATGGATTTATATTTACATTATAAATGCAAACATGAAAAAAATATAGATATTTTAGAAATCGATTTTTTGGGAATGACAATGACAATAAAAAAATGGCGTCAGTTTTATTGTAGGATTAGACATAAACAATGTAAGAATAATTGATTTTCAATAACTTTTTTCTCAAAAATTACGCGCTTCCGCATATTGTAACTTTGTGTGTGTGCTTATAATAGGCTATTTGACTAATTTTGGAAAACCATTTTAAATGATTCTTTATTACGTAATAAGCATACTACATTGATATTTCCGAGAGATCTACTGTATTAACAATAAAAATCAAAGTTAAAGTTTAAATTTCCAAAACCGCGGCAAAAACGCTTATTCTGTAATGGCGCTGGTCATATTCCGTGTGACGTCACACACAAGTAAAAAGGTCAATAACCCTAATAAAACAGTGCAGCTGAAGTGAATTTTATTATTTTTCTTCAAATTTATTCGATAAAATGGTGTATAAATGGTGTGTAGTGCCACAATGTACTAATACGACTATAAGTAGTCCACACAAACTGTTTGTTTCTGTTCCAACGAATCCCAAAAGACGAAAAATGTGGTTACGATTAGCTCGAAGAGACCCAAAGAGCATTTTAGCTCATACCAATGTTTTTATGTGTGAAGATCATTTTAATGTAAGTAATATATAACTTTATATATACTAGACTAGATGGTAGCCTAATATCGGTTTTTGTATAAAGTAATAACATCTTTAATACCCAACCTCCAAATATGGCTTAATCTTACAGCATAAGTTGGAAGGATACTTTTCACCCAAACCCTACAGGGTTCCCTGTAGGGTTTCATATGTTATCTGTTATGTTATTTAGCTTTCTTAATAATTTTCTTATGCTGTCTTGTAATGTTTATTGTCTTGTCAAACATAATATAGATACTTCACTCCTTACATTGGCAATAATGTTGAATTACAGATGGAAAAGGACACAATTAACTACTTGAAGTACAAAATGGGCTTCAGTCAGAAGATACTTTTGGCAGATGAGGCTGTGCCAACTAAATTTCATTGTCAAGAGGATCGTAGAAGTCGGCTACCTGATGCTGGACCTTCTCGAGAAGTTTTCTTTAAAAGGCAAAGAATTGATATTGTCACAGAATGTCTGCGAAGACATAGTACTACAACCCATACAGAAAGCTTACAAAATGATGATATGATACAAGAAATCATTGAGCCTAAAGGTTATGTTATCTATATAATACAAATGTCATAAGATATTTTTTCACATTTAAATGAGTTAAGTTTATGTTATTCACATTTAAATTAAGTAATTAATTTGGTTTTTTGTCTTTTCAGAATTACCAAAAACTCAAGACAAAGAAACAATCACCGACCCTATCATAACTGTATAAAAAGCTGTTCAAGCAACAAAAAAAGTGAATACGCATTTTAGGAGCAAGGCTGTGCAAACTAGATGCCAAAATAAAAGTATTTCTACCTCACCATGGAAAGTTTCTACAATATCTCATTTCACTTCACCAATTAATATTAAACCATGCCATCTTCAACCATTACAGTCAGAGGTTGTTAAAGCAGTTAAGAGAAATATTTTCCTTGTAGATGAAAAATCTGATAGTGATATTTCTTGTTTTGAAAGTGGTCTTTTATCACCTTTTGGAGCTACATCAGTAAAGGTTACTGACTCTGATAGTAATGTTACAGATACCAATGAGAATATTGAAAAATTACAGTGCCTCAAAAATACTTTGCGTTTAATTGAAAAGAAACCTGATGTATATTGGTATTTCCAAAGAATGTTATTTTTTAATTGAGTTGTTGCATAGACACACAAATATAAATAGAGAACATATTTTGCTATGCTTGAAAAAAATTAGATTAAACAGCACATTTTCTGAACTCGAGGATAATTTTGGTATATCATTATCTTATGCCAGTAAATTATTTTTAAGAAACTTACCAATAATAAGTAGTTTTTTAAAACCATTCATTGTAAACTTAGACAAAAATTTAATAAAAAGGAATCTTCCTATTGCATTTAGACATAACTATCATAATGTAAGCTGCATCATTGATTGTCTAGAAATTGATATACAAAAACCATCAAAGGCTCTTCATCAGGCTCTGACATGGTCAGAGTACAAAAAGGGGAATACTGTGAAGTATTTAATATCATGCACACCTAATGGTTTGGTTA